ACCTTAGTCTCCAGAGAGACACCGTTGCTCTTGAGTACTTTAGAGAGGTCCCTAACCGCAGCGCAAACATATATATATATGTATATATAATTAATAGCTCCCTTAAAAGGAGTTAATATTTAGCTCCTTAAATTAAGAGGAGAGCTTTGAAATGTTGAAGGAAAAGCTTAACTAAATTTTTGTGCTTTCCAGATTATAATCCAGACCCTAGCAACCTAGAAATTCTTAATAAGAAAGTATCACATTAGTAAATAAAGCAATGTATTTTTTTTGTTTGTTTTAGGAAAGTTTTCTTTATCTTAACTCATTATAAACAGCATAGGTAAAATATGCCAATTGGCAGGAAAAGGTCTGGAGGATACCTTTTACACAGGCATCAATTCGATCTTGATCTCCAGTTGAATATACTTATGTATAAGGGGTACTTTTTACAGCTGGAACTACACCGTGTTAGTGTCCCCCATCTGCGTCCATGTAGCTCATAGGAATGAAGTCTCTAGTGGATTATGTCATTGTTTTATTTATATGTGTTAAGCACCTGTAGCTAATTGCTGGAGGTAAAGAAGAGGTTTGTCTTTAGTTTCTAATAGGAAAATATGATGATGCAGCTGAGTTAACCTCAAGTTTTGTATGGCTGCTGAGGAAGAAATCTATGTCACGGAGGAGAGCAGGGTTCTCAACTAATTAAACAGGACAGGGGTGACACCGGAAGGCAGACCAATGAGTAGATAATAGAAGGGAATGGTGACACAGGAAGACGAGGCACACTTTGGAAGACACCAGAAGAAGACTGTAAGGGCAGGCTGTGAAGTACCAGATGAAGAAATTGCTGGAGCTGGGTCTTGACTAGAGAGAGCATTCTCTGCTCTTAGCCTCTTCAGGTACCAAGTATCTAATCTGCATTCAAATCAATTTGTCTCCCAAGAAAGCAAGTTTTTCTTCCACTCAGAATCCCTGCTTTCTGTGTCAAAGGAGCTCTGGCAGGGATGTAGCCCATAGGAAGTTTCACTGCTAACCCCAACGTGGCCATTCTCAGGCAGTTGGAATCCATCATCAGCTAAAAGGTGGGCAGTCTCCTCTCATGCAATTAACAGCCTCCAACAACCCACAGGAGAGTCAGCAAGAAGTCACTTCCAAATCAGCGAGGAATGTTTCAGGTTACATGAGTTCCCTGAGTCTACTGAGAACCCCCAAACGAACAATGACTTTGAGATGATGAGTGCCTGGTGCTGACTGTAGAACCCAAGACAAAACCTTCAGTTAGACAGTCTTCCTGGGAGCTTGTGATCGATATTTATTGACGAGAACCTTGTCAGACTTTTCTGCCTTTATAGAGCTGATCTCCGGGTATTTTCTCCCAAAGACAAAATAGCCTCCCTCTCCCAAGTAGCTTAGGGAGCTCTAGCAGCCTGGTGGTAAGAAGCTGTGCTGCAATCCCAAAGGTATATGGTTTGGATCCACCAGCTGCTACGCAATAGAAGGATGAGCAGTCTCCTCCTGCGCGATATAATGCCTCTGAAAACCCACTGGAGGGTCAGCTGTGTGTCAGTTCCTACTCCATGGCACACATCAACAACCCAAGCATCTTACTGCTGAAGTGATACAGTGAAATGCGGGAAAGGGGGAAAGGCTGCCACCCTGAGACACATTTGCAATAAAGACTTCAGGGTCTTTTTGCCCTGGCTTCTCTCAAACTCTTCCCACATTGGCCTTTCCATTACACGCTCATGGGCCTAGGGATGGGACACAAGGCTTCACTGAGGAGTAGGGGGATGACTCAAACACTTTGTCTTTTTATAATAACTGTGAAGATACTTCAGGAATACTTTCACTGCTGCATACAAATAGTCTCATTATTGTGGCCTATACTAGGGATGTTGTAACTAATGTTAGATGGATCTTAGCTGAAAGCAGGGAATACCAGAGGAATGTATATCTGTGTTTCATTGATTATGCAAAGGCGTTTGACTGTGTGGATCATAACAAACTGTAACTGACTCTGAGAAGAATGGGAATCCAGAACACTTGATCATTCTAATGCGAAACCTATACTTGGACCAAGAGGCCCTCGTCAGAACAGAGCAAGGAAACTGCATGGTTCAAAATTAGGAAGGGCATACGTCAGGGATGTGTCCTATCTCCATACCTTTTCAACCTATATGCAGAACAGATTATCCAGGGGGCTGGGTTCTATGAGGAGAAATGTAGTGTCAGGATTGGTGGAAGATCTATCAGCAGTCTGCGTTATGCAGATGACACAACCCTGCTTGCTGAAACTGAGGAAGACGTGAAGCGCTTGCTGCAGAGGGTCATGAACTGCAGCCTCCAATATGGATTGAGGATCAATATCAAGAAGACAAAGATTCTCACCACTGGACCAATTGGCAGCATCAGGATGGATGGTGAAGAGATTAAGATTGTTCACAGCTTGTTTGCTGACTCCACAGTCAACACTCTTGGCACCAGCAGCCAGGAAATTAAAAGACGTATTGTGATGGGAAAGACTGCTCTTAGGGACCTCTCCAAAGTACTAAAGCGC